GAAGCACCGCGAGCCGTCCTGACCCACTGGTGGGATTTCCCAGCGCCACGGCTGCAGAGCCCTCTCCCCCCACCTCCAGCTGTGGGTGGGCATGTACCCCAGCGGTAAAAGTGAGGACATCGTGTCCCTTGCTTAAATGCTGTGTGGGTGTGTGGTTGCCAGTGTGTAAATGCAAACATACTTGCAGCGTGGCTGTATGCCCTGCTGCCTGGGCTCACCGCGAAAATGTATCCCCAGATGTGGTATCTCACAGGCAGAGGTTGTTTGTCAGTCAGATGCAGAGCTGGGGTGCAGTTACCCAGTTTTATAAGTGCCCTACTTGGCAAGGGCTCACAGGGGAGAGCCCGAGATGGGCCAGTGTGGTTGTTGTACTGGGAAAGGAGGATTTGGGAGGGGAAGATTAATAACTTGTCCTTTGTGCCAGGTGAAGGGATGGGATCCTTATCTCGGGTGGGTCCCCCGCACAGACAGCGAAAGGAGGTCCCACCGCCCCGTGCGGGAGCCCCTCACATCAGCCAGCCCTGGCTGCTCATGAGCAAAAGCTCATTTGGTTTTTCAGGCTTTTTCCAGCCCACCTGGGGAAGTGGAGCATTGCCGGTATTTATAAAAGGCACAGCTGAGGCATCTGTATCGCCACACAACTTCCAGGTGTGGAAGAGGCAGTGGGTGGGTTGGGGTAGGGTTCTGCCCTGCACGTGGGTGGAGGGGTGCGGAGCAGGCACACCCCTGGCTCTGGGCAGTTTGCTAGGGTGCTCAAGGCTGGAAGTGCCTGCCCATCATCTGGGCATGCAGCTTCCAGCTGGATTTGGGAAATAGAAAAAGTTCCTTGTGCCCTCCGCCAAACACCCCTCCACCAGCACCTTGTGCAGAAAGAGGCACCTTCCCGAGGCGGTCAGGGCAGCAGGGAGAAGCCTGAGACCATTGAGCCTGCTGGCCCAGCTGAGTGTCACAGAGGTGTCAGCAACTGTAGAATTACTTAAAAGCTCTGTAAAATATATTCCCCCCCGTACCCCCCCTGCTGTGTGTGTGCCCCTCGTGTGGTGGCCCTTGGGGCTCCCCAGCCCCAGTGCCACCAGGAAAGGTCTCTCTGGTCTCTGCAGTGGTGGCACCTCCTCCCTCGCCCACCCTTTCCTCCTTGGCCTCGACTTGCTGCTTCTGCCTTACCCTTGGCCCCACGAGGAGCCACCAAGCTCCTAGGCAGGGGGATGCCCTGCGAGAGGGTTGCACGCAGGCTTCCCTGGCAAAGCGGCTTCCATGAAGCAAGCAGCCGGGGGATGCCAGGGGCGAGGCGGTGGGTGCTGGGGGCAGCTGGGTGTGATGGGTGCCCAAGGACAGCACAGGGGCCC